GACACTAAAGAACATGAAAAAAAGTACAACTGTTGCTAAACCATAGCATTTCGGCTGTATTTTGTTGATATTGTTGGTTTCGTTGGGTTCGTTGGGTTCGTTGGTTTCGTTGCTTTTGTTCTGATCGTTAGTTCTGTTACATTTTGTACTATAATAGTACTAAATGAAACTAAATAACATGAAAAAAGTACAACTGTTGCTAATCCATAGCGTTTCAGCTGTATTTTGTTGATATTGTTGGTTTTGTTGGGTTCGTTGGGTTCGTTGGTTTCGTTGCTTTTGTTCTGATCGTTAGTTCTGTTACATTTTGTACTATAATAGTACTAAATGACACTAAATAACAAGGATAAAGTACAACTGTTGCTAATCCATAGCGTTTCAGCTGTATTTTGTTGATATTGTTGGTTTTGTTGGGTTCGTTGGGTTCGTTGGTTTCGTTGCTTTTGTTCTGATCGTTAGTTCTGTTACATTTTGTACTTTAATAGTACTAAATGACACTAAATAACATGAAAAAAGTACAACTGTTGCTAAACCATAGCGTTTCAGCTGTATTTTGTTGATAATGTTGGTTTCGTTGGGTTCGTTGGTTTCGTTGCTTTTGTTCTGATCGTTAGTTCTGTTACTATTTGTACTTTAATAGTACTAAATGACACTAAAGAACATGAAAAAAGTACAACTGTTGCTAAACCATAGCATTTCGGCTGTATTTTGTTGATATTGTTGGTTTCGTTGGGTTCGTTGGGTTCGTTGGTTTCGTTGCTTTTGTTCTGATCGTTAGTTCTGTTACTATTTGTACTTTAATAGTACTAAATGACACTAAAGAACATGAAAAAAGTACAACTGTTGCTAAACCATAGCATTTCGGCTGTATTTTGTTGATATTGTTGGTTTCGTTGGGTTCGTTGGGTTCGTTGGTTTCGTTGCTTTTGTTCTGATCGTTAGTTCTGTTACATTTTGTACTATAATAGTACTAAATGAAACTAAATAACATGAAAAAAGTACAACTGTTGCTAATCCATAGCGTTTCAGCTGTATTTTGTTGATATTGTTGGTTTTGTTGGGTTCGTTGGGTTCGTTGGTTTCGTTGCTTTTGTTCTGATCGTTAGTTCTGTTACATTTTGTACTATAATAGTACTAAATGACACTAAATAACAAGGATAAAGTACAACTGTTGCTAATCCATAGCGTTTCAGCTGTATTTTGTTGATATTGTTGGTTTTGTTGGGTTCGTTGGGTTCGTTGGTTTCGTTGCTTTTGTTCTGATCGTTAGTTCTGTTACATTTTGTACTTTAATAGTACTAAATGACACTAAATAACATGAAAAAAGTACAACTGTTGCTAAACCATAGCGTTTCAGCTGTATTTTGTTGATAATGTTGGTTTCGTTGGGTTCGTTGGTTTCGTTGCTTTTGTTCTGATCGTTAGTTCTGTTACTATTTGTACTTTAATAGTACTAAATGACACTAAAGAACATGAAAAAAGTACAACTGTTGCTAAACCATAGCATTTCAGCTGTATTTTGT